GTAACAAAAGAAGAGCACTCTCTCTCCAAAATTAGACTCAACATCTCGAAAACACTTGAAAAAACTCAAGATTTTTTCAAAAAAACCTGCTTGATATTCAGATAACCAGTTGACAACTCATGCGTTCATCTTTGGTTGCTCTGTCATCCTTATGGAATGATTTCTTTTACATAATCAGTTTGAATTCATGTATTGCTTGAACTGGATAGAGAAATCTTTAGTCTTCCTTACATTGTAATTGATATTCTGAATTAATTAAATGGATAAATCTATAACTCCTGCCTTTCTTTATTATCAAGTTAAAATCGGATAAAGGAATCTTGGAATTTTTCTTGACTGTTTCTTTAAATATCCGCTATTTAATTGCTTATATATATATATATATATATATATATATAAACTTGTTTAATTTCCCGCTTTCATATTGCTTAAATTTACCAGTTCATACCTAAAACAAAGGCCCGCAAGAGGGCTTCATTAGTATGAAAGTAAAGGTTAATTCAAGCCCAAACTATATCATAAGGCCCGAATCAACCAAAATCTTGACCCAATCTAAGGGCTCATTGGATTTGAGTTAGGTTTCAAAACCCAGATAGGGTACCATTAACCACAACTCTATTTTCTCCCTTGTTTGATTCGGTATTGCTCGTATCTATCAAACTGACATGCACAAGTGAAAGAATATTGAAGGCCTCTTAATTGAGGCATAGAAAAGAACTTATCCAGGCCAGTACCCCCCTTGGAGCACGATGGTTTCAGTAGAAGTCCAGAGTAAACGCAAATACAACAAATCAACATCCTACACCACCTATACCAGGCTTATTGGACTAGTCTCATACCCAATAGTGGCACACCTGCGCAACTCACGATCAGGATAGATGGAGCAAGCCGATAGGGCCCAGCCCGAGCTCGTTTGTTCTTGTCAACTTGATTCAACTTTTAATTTTGTTCAGAAATTGAAAGAATCATCTTCGAGAGCCAGAAATCCAGTCTGGGCATTGGTGTTGATCCAACGACCTCCTCACTCTGCAGAGCAGCTCGATCCAAGAGCAAACCACAAAGAGAGTGTTGGCGGGAAAAGGAACCAACAGTTGTCTATAGTACTAATTACAAGTTGGACTACATCCGCATCTATTAATTGAAGTTGAGTCTAACAGCAAGCATCTCCTTTATTTATACAGTTGAAAAAAGGAATGAGGAGGAAGATTAACCAAGTTGAGTCTAACAGCAAGCATCTCGTCACGGCTTAAACGTTTTTATTTTATTTTATAGCGTTATATCTTGATATTAGAATATAATATGCCCAGCTTCCAACACAAATATAATGCATTTAATCAAATACAGTTAACGATAATTCAAGAACTTTGTGCTGTGTTTATGTGCGTGCATATTCCCAGTCCCAGATGCCATTGTCAGCCACCGTATCTCTTTTATTTTCTAATCATGGTTACGTTAGCCGTTACGATACTTTGTCTGCTTCTAATTTTGTGCTGCCAAAGGGACGGGACCAACCAAATTCAAAAGTAATTAAAATAATACTAAAGTCGCTTTCCTAGACCCCTTTTCTCCCTTTCTCCTTTCTTCTTGGTCTCTCTTCTCTACAACCCCCCTTTGGTTCGGCTAATAAATCAAGTGACTCTCCCCTAGGGACGGACCCCGGAATTGCAAATCGGATGGGCTAAATTTACCTTAAGTATACAAACCTATTAAAAAAATTTGGCTGGTTTTGGTGGGTTTTTGTAGAATTTTAGGCTTGGACAATACATTGTAGGAACTAAAAACCAGAAGTAAGATTTAGCTCAGCCCAAGCCCTCACTCAACCCCTTCACTCATAGCTGAAAACCCCATTTAAGATCCTCAAACGTATAGCCCAGGTTACTAAGGGGGGTGTATTCAATTAGGATTTTAAAAGACTATTTTGGGATAAATAAGTCTTGTGGTATTCAATTAAGACTTTTAAATAATCTAAACAAGTCTTGTGGTATTCAATAAGGACTATTAGGATTTTTTAAAGAGGGTGTCCAAATCTAGTGGTATTCAATCAAGACTTTAAACAAGTAACATTTGGTCGATCACAATTCACTGCAAGTGAAAATTTTCACAAGATTTTGAAGGCCTTGAATTCAATAGCATCTGATTGGATGGCTAAACCAGGACCGGCTGTGCCATCTAAAATAAGGGAAAGCACAAGGTTTTACCCTTATTTCAAGGTATGTGATAATTATCTAATTATAATAATATTGTTATTATAATATATATTTGTCATAATATGGTTATTGTGATGTATGAATAATTTTAGGATTGCATTGGAGCTATTGATGGTACACATATTCCGGCAATGGTGAGGGGACGAGATGTAAGCAGTTATCGTAATCGTCATGGAAAGATATCACAAAATGTATTAGCTGCTTGTAACTTTGATTTGGAATTCATATACGTTCTTAGCGGGTGGGAGGGTTCAGCTCATGATTCAAAGCTACTAAATGATGCTTTATCAAGGAGGAATGGACTTAAAGTGCCCCAAGGTAAGTACTTATTTTAAATGATAAATATATATTTTTTTTAAACTTTGCATACTAATTTTATATGTATTGTATATATAATTAGGTAAATATTTCCTAGTGGATTGTGGATTTCCTAATCGGCGCCAATTTTTAGCTCCATTTCGAGGTGTGCGATATCATCTCCAAGATTTTGCAGGTTATGGTTATGACCCTCAAAATGAAAATGAATTGTTCAATCTTCGCCATGCGTCATTGAGGAATGTGATCGAGAGGATATTTGGCATTTTTAAATCACGGTTCACAATTTTTAAGTCAGCGCCTCCATTTCCATTTAAGACACAAGCAGAGCTTGTGTTAGCATGTGTAGCACTACACAACTTTCTTCGCAAAGAGTGTCGTTCTGATGAATTTCCAATTGAACCAGTGGACGAATCTTCTTCATCTTCAGTATTACCAGTTAATGAAGAAGAGAATTTGGAACCTATTGTTCAAACCCAAGAGCAGCAACGAGAAAATGCTAATGCATGGAGAGCTACCATAGCTTTAGATATGTGGAGAAATGCTACTTAGGTGGACATGAAGCTACATCAAATTGGCTATTAAAAGATTGGGAAAACTTTATTGAATTTTACTTTTCTTTGTTATCTTTTTCATTGACTCTTGTAACTTTGAATGTTTGCTTTTATTTATTGTTCCATTCCATTTGATCCCGTTTATGTTATTGCTGATGCAAGTGCCCACAACTAAGTTGGTTGGTTATCGTACAAATAAAAAATCCATGTGGTCCTTTCAAATCTTATAAATTCTTATAATATAAATCTTTAAAATCCAAACATAAAAAATCCTGAGTATAAAAAATCTTTCAAAAAAATCTTATAAGTCATTACATTCTTAAATAGTCTTTTAAAATCCACTGGACTTATTTATCCATAAAGAGTCTTTTAAAATCTCAATTGAATACAGGCTGTAGCCCAGGTTAGGCTGTACTAAGGTCTGTGCCTACTCTTCCCGTCATATTGTAGAGAAATTTCCTGCATTTAATATAATAAGAAGCAGTATCAAAAACACCAAAAATCATTTTCTTTTCTCCTAAGTTACATTGTAAACCAAAATTGTTCGAAGTGCATTTTCTGCATGAATCCAATCAAACCTAAGGTTTGACATTGAATTTTCCTTTATTGTATAAAATAAATTCACAGCATTTATGCCTAAATTTGGTATCCAAGTGGTTATAGCTACTTAAGAAAACTAAAGTTGAGCACACTTAATCAAATTCCCACAGCACATTGAAAAAGGAATCATGTCGACCATATATTTTAACAGTAGGTAAAATTTCTACTCTATATTTTTATGGAATCTATAACTGCATAATCTGTTTCTTTGATCCATAAACACACACTTAGCATTTTTGACAAGGAAAACTAAAGAAAAACTAATGCAGAATCATGCTATCACATCTGCCTCAGTTACTAAGCACGCATGGATTGTCAGTATCTATAAGTTTTCTGCGTCCAGAATTTCTGCATAACCATACCAAATGATAATTCAGACTACTCATTATGGTTGATGATGATGGAGACAGTATGAGACTGTGTATGCAATAGAGACAATATACAAGCTTAGCTGATCTAAATTACCATAAAAACATAACTGAAGAAAACCCAACAAGGAAATCAGCACCCCAATCCAAATGCATGCTAAATTTTTGAGTTGCAATTAACTAGACCAGCTGGTCAAGTGCAACAAATCCACTTGAAATAATCCTGTTACTACAATAACATGGTTATTAAAACAAATGAACAAAAGGCATTTTCATTTAAATACCTGTTAGCAGCAGCAGAGGCAACACAAACCCGCCAAGAAATCTCCCCATGAGAGGTCCTTAGAACCAATCCAATCACTTCAAATTCAAAATCCCATCAATTAATGGGTTTTCGATTAACATCAAAATCACGAAAACCCATTTCCCAAAGACTTCGAATTTCCTCAGAAACTCCCAATTCGAATAGAAACAGAAGAAAGCTGGCTGCGCTTTAAAATCGTATATATTTAAAGCGTATAGCCGTGGGGCTATACTATCAGAGGGTATAGCGTTCGGCTATACCATTTAAATATAATATTTTTGAGTCCAGCCGACCGGCTAGATTCGAATATATTCAAAGCGTATAACCGATCGGCTACACCTTTTAAATATAGTATTTTCAGAGTACGGCCGAACGGCTATACAATTTAAATATTCCAATATATTCGAAACGTATCGCCGCGCGGCTATACTCTTTAAATATAATATTTTCAAAGTACAGCCGTTCGGCTATACTGTTATAATATTAGAAAATATTCGAAGAGTATAGCCGTGCGGCGATACGCTGAATTTTTAAAATATTCTAGTTGACCTTTCAATTTGATTAGAGTTTTTTCTCTCTTGCGCATGAGAGAGATGAGCAATTGATTTCTAAAACCCAACTTCAACTGCGCATGAGAGAGAGATGAGAATTTTCAATGCTGATTATTGTACATCCAGCAAAATCCTCTCCCACGATCCTTTGTATTACAGCATTTGTCTTGTGAATCAACTGAAGCCGTGGCCTCGTCCATGAACAAGAGCCTGCTGTGCTTCAACATAACTCGCCCCAAACAGAGAAGCTGTCTTTGCCCCACGCTCCAGTTGTCGCCGTCATCAGCCACTTTAATTTGATGGAAACAGTCAGTACCTAATCCTAAGGCTAGCTAGCATTTCAGCTCCAGAGAGTAAATAATGGGGAGTCACGTACCTAAAGAATTGAGTTCATCAGGTTTTGCAGCTACCACATCTTTAAGTTGGCAGCGTTCAAGGCTGTACAAGAAAATTAAGATTTAATGTGAATAAACATACGGCATTGTTTCATCTAAGTAAGTGAATGATGAAAAACATATACAAACAAATTGTATAATTCAATCTTATTGTTTTTTGAGGCTATGGGTTACTCTCTTATGTAATCCGAAAACCAGATAGCATTGTGTTTTTTACCTTCCAAATTTCTTCATCTGAATAAATTCCTACCGGATCAATGTTGCTTCTCACAGTTCCTTCAAAAAGGACAGGTCCTTGAGGAATGATCCAAAGCGAGACCTGATATCGTGAAGCCCTATTGTGGTTATATCAATCCCATCGATGATAATTTTGCCTCCTGAAGGTTCCACCAGCCTAAAGAACACTTGGATCAAAGTTGATTTCCTGCTCCCTGTTCGACCCACAACACCAATCTTTTCGCCCCCGTGAATGCTTGGACTAATGCCTTTGAGAACCGAACGTGTATTTGGACGATATCAAAAGGAACAGGGCTTATTTAGCTTGAGACAAAGTAATGGAGATGACAAAGTAATGACAACTTGCATGCAGACCACTTCATTTGTCCGTCCACTACACTAGCCATGGAAGATGTACTACAAATATACCATTTGGGAGACAAATGGCTAGAGTGTAGCAGCTCATGGAATGTAAGATTTGACTTTATTTGTTCAGAAGATATAAACAGAACTGAAGGTAAACTACCTGCAAGTCTCTGAGCTCGACATTGCCATGGGAAGGCCAATTTGAAGGAGGAACACGGTCTTTTATCTCCCATGCTGCTTCTGATGGGATGTTTATAAATTGTTTTATCCTCTCAACCGATACCATCTTATTTTTGACAAAGCAGCTCATATAAATGGCCCAGAACAGCACACCATTCAGGGGTAATCTGTAGGAGAGAATTAAACCAACATTCTCTGCACCATGAAGGAATAACTGATTTAGCTAGCCAAATCTCTGAAATAGACAGTGTACACTCATCTACTCTGCAGCTAATTTATATCACATACGCTAAGTATTTACTTAGGCATCCCATATCATAATTGGCCATGAATCAAGTGCTAGATATGACATCTTGTTAAGTGTAGCACCAAAAGAAGAAGAAGTATGCACCTGGCTTTATTACGCTGCTTGGCAACAAGAGCATGAATACAGTGGAAATGCAGAAAACTAAACTCCCAAGCATCTCCATACAGAAACCAAACAACTCATTGGACCCACTGTTGTGGAAATCCATACGTAAATTGGCATTAACCCATTTAACATTTTCCTCGGAGAACATGTTCTGCATTCTGCAAGAGCGGATTGTCATAACTCCGGATATGCCCTCTGAGAAGTGATGGATAACAGGAGCTTTTGTGATTGAATGGAGTCGAGTTTATTCACGAGATGATGCAAGATAGTAACCCTAAAATCCAAACAGTAGAAAAAACTCAGCATATAATTAAGGTCACATTCATAAAACAAGAGATTTTACTTTTCTAGTTTAGCACATTCATATATCTGCATAGGGGTGCTTCAGTTCAAAACATTTATATTATCTGTCTAACAAGAGTTGGATTGACCAATAGTATTCATGACAAAGATCATAGAACTAGATATTTTATTTTCCTGTCTAACACACATTTGTTAAACGAGAACACATTCATTGCAACATTATAGTTCTTACACTGATAAATATCAACAGCATGATAAAAAGAATGAAAAACCAGGTACCAGATATTAAGCCAAATAAGTGGAATCAGCAAGAATACTGTTGGCCAGGAATTTTGGCATACAACGATAAAGATGGCAAGCACAGTGATGTACATGGCAATGGTCATACCCAAAATGAAGGGAAGAAATTGATCGATATTCGTCTGATCAGTATGATGCCTGGTGGGTGAAAAATTCTCATCAGTTAGCAAAGAAGACAACGTATACAATTTAGATTAAACAGAGAATAGGATCTCTCATCAACTATGACAAATTAATGCTCAAACAGAAAAAGAAAAGGTGAGCAATTCTAACTCACAAACTTTGTAAACGTGCAAGCTCACTATCCCTGTTTCTTTCTCCTCTTCTTTGATGAGTTCAGAAGTCCTGTTATCAGACTTTGGTTGGTCCAAAGAGTTGTTTCCACCATTGGCTTCCCAGTGGTTTGAAGAGAGTTGAGGAGATATTTGAGGACTGAGGGAACTTTTGCCGGGAATAGTGGTGCTCATTTCTACAAGTTCCATGGGCAGCTACTAGCTCTTTGAAATCCAGGCCAGAATTTAGCAAATCATTATACTTTCCATCCTGTACTATCATCCCATCTCTCTTGACCTGATATTATTTGGAGGTTATAAGTTTAAATAAATATATAAGTAGGAGGAAAACATGTGCAAACTGCAATTATAATCTTACCAAAATAAGATCAACATTATGCTAGAAGTCAACTTGATGAGTTACAAGTAAAACCGTCTTGTTTTTAAGCACTCCCTTCACACATTCCTACAGAGAAGTATAAATCATGATCAGTAGAACATTACGCATACAAATCAAATTCAATGAGTGTCACTTTGTACTGTTTTTATACTATCTTAGCACATTTAGACTATGAAAGTAAAAAAGTGTTCAAACCACTATATTAAGAACAAGCTTGAATGTTCAATCACCGTGGAATCAGAAGTAAATAATTTATTTACTATCAAATGTAGTAGTAAATCTAATGCAATGTCACCTTAAATATTTCTGATCCAGTATGAGCACCAACAGCGCTGAAAACATCATCGAGAAGATATATGTCACGATTTTGATATAGAGCCCTAGCAAGTTGTATCCTCTGTTTCTGTCCACCACTTAGGTTGATGCCACGCTCTTCTATCTCAGTTTGATCTCCAAACTCCATCATTTCCAAGCAGCAAACCCTGATAACTTCCATTTATCTATCTCTGTCCATTGGCAAACCAAATAATATACTTTCTTTAGTAGTCCCATTTTGAATCCATGATGTTTGAGCAACATAGGCAGTTGTTCCACAAACTCGTACCTGTTATTCAAAAAGTTTATAAATTCAACAAGTACTTGATTAAACTGAAGCTTTTTGAGTGAGTTATGACCTGGTTATAAACTTATGGCTCAGTGGAGGGATTTTATGTCATAAGAGACATCTAGAAAAGGGTTTAATGGCATCAAATCATACCTTTCTGGAAGCTTGTGCATCTCACCAAGAATTGAGGCTAGAAGGGAAGACTTTCCAGATCCCACTGTCCCTACAATAGCCGTTAGCTCCCCTTTATTTACTTTCAAATCCTCTTCTTTGCATTATCGCAGCTAAACACGCCATTTTTAACCTCCACAGAAGTTCTACTATCGCAGCCCTCGTCTCTCTCCGCCGCATCCTCCACCAATTCCCTACTCATCATATAACGGTCCAACCTCCCAAAGGGATTTCATAGCTTAAGAAATTGAAATATTGTATTTTCAGAGTACGGCCGAGCGGCTTTACTGTTAAAATATTCGAATACATTCAAGGCGTATAGCCGGACGGCTATATAGTATTTTCTGAGTACAGCCGCACGGCTATACTTTGAAAATACAATATTTAAAGGGTATAGCCATCCGGCTATTTAAATATAGTATTTTCAGAGTACAGCCGTTCGGCTATACTCTTAAATATTCGAATATATTCACGGGTGGATATGCCCTTTTAATATAGTATTTTCAGAGTACAGCCGCCCCGGCTATACTCTTTTTAGCGTACACCCCCGCGGCCATACGCTTTAAATATATAATATTTCCAGAGTACGCCTGTGCGGCTATACTATTAAAATATTCTAAGAGTACAGAATTTTTTCTCTCTTGCGCATGAGAGAGATGAGCAATTGAATTCTAAACCCAACTTCAACTGCACTTTCATATAAGACCAACTCAAATTATTGAATCATTCATTTAACATTAAATCCATTTCCTCTAGATCACATTTAACACAGGGTAGCTGCAGTAGAAGGAAGAAAAGGTAAAAGAAAAACCACAAGAAGGTAAGCAATGCGGCCAGGATTTTAAGAATTGAAACACACTCATTTGATAAGTAACATAAGATTCTCTGTTGCACATAATCCAAATCTGCATGGTTCTTAACTGATCAACTTGCTTGGAGGATATAACCATACCATCCAGGAATGAATTATTACATGATCAACTTGCAGAACCTACACTGTAGAGAAGCTGAAGTCACTGGTTTTCAAGTATCCTGCTACATAAACTGCGTTGGATTTGTAGATGTCATAAAAGATAGACGTACCATGATGTAGAAAAGTGAAAGAGAGAAGCTCGAACAAACTTCAGTCCAATCCGAATGTAAAGTTATCTTGATCAGACCAATGAAATCAGCTATCCATTGTAACATATCTGGAAACTCCACAGGTAGCTGATACACATAAAGCAAGACAATGTTGAAGCTTGCATACAAGTGAAAAGGCGTCCTTCAGTTAAAGTGTATGCAATCTATACTTCTTGAAATTGCTTCATGTTCATTGTCCAAAAAGAGGACCACGATATGCAGACACATTCTTTCATTTTCTCATTCTAGGTTATTTATTTCTTCTTTTTGGGATTGCTAAGGATGGTTCAATTTTATTACACTTCCATGTTTTATTTTTTACTTTTTCATTTTGTTTGAATGATGCTTCTAAGTTCTTTCCTTCGTTTCACGTTCATATATGAGGACTGGTTCATGCCTCACACTGCAGCAAAATTAAAGTTCCCCTACCACTGGGATGAAGAGTGCCTTGAAGTCGAACCGCCGCCAAAGGATGAGCTATGATATCTGAGAAAGGTTCTATTGTAGAGTATCTAGTTGTAGCAATTATTCTCAGAGGTTAGTCGAAAGGTATATCCGCGCGGCTGTACTGCGGCTGTACTGTTTAAATAAAATATTTAAGCGTACAGCCGAACGGCTATACTCTTTAAAGTATAGCCGCGGCTGTACTCTGTAATAATTTTTAAATATTCTAGTAGACCCTTCAATTTTAAACATTGGAATTTGGAAGAAGAGATAAAAAGTAGAGCAATGGGATGGAGAGATCACTATATGATTTACTTCGTTCGCATTCACATTAGGGCAAGTAAGCTTCACCTGCGCTCCGGTAAAGGATTGCTATGTTTCTATGGGAGCACCATGCATGTGCATCTGACTGGTTAACGCAGTTTCATCCCTCTTGCGCATGCTGGGATTGCAACCATCTACCAGAATACAACATTTATTAATTTGTATTGTAATTACAAATTTCAATGTCAAGTGATATTAAGTGACGATTAATTAAGCCATCCAAATTAACCATTGCCATGCCTATATATAAGGAGCATTATTCTCATCATTTGATTTCATTTGAAAAGTGAGGTGATCCACCTGAAAAATTGCTAAAGATCTATCAATTTTTGTACCTGTTATTTTCAGGATATGCGCTAGAAACAAGCTTCACCAAATACACTTTTGTTTCACTGTGCTACACACTGGAGTTAATATACAGTTTTTATAACATTAATATAAAGTAAAAAAAATTCGGGAGCCCTATGCAGTGGCACCACTTGCACTATGCCAGGTCCACTTCTTGTTATTTTGATATTCATGATGTCCTATGGACGAAAGTACATTTCCGAACCACGTTAACTCCTTGATCTTCTTATTTAATTGGTTACATTGTTTGGTTAAGTTTGTTGATTTCTGTTCTAGATACTAATCGATGCTAAAATTATGATCACAGAAAACAGATTTCTTCTCCGATTGATGTGACCCAAAATTTTCAAAAACAGAAAAAGAGAAATTCCAAAACCTTAAAATTAAGAAACAAAGTTGAATTGTTCTTTTAGATGAATTAATTAGTTTGAAATAAACGTGATAGAATAGAGGCTACCACCCACTTCATCTGTAGCCAAGTAATTTATACATTTATGTATTTGTTTCCCATTCTAAATAATTCTCAGCCAGTAGCCACAAGACTTGCGTACAAAAGTTCATTCCAGGTGTCAGGTACACCAGCAAGGCACCAGTGACTGCAATCGTTTCCTTTATCCCCACCCAAACCATATGCAGATGGGTGCCCATCTTTCCTCAGTTCCGATAGCAATGTTATGTCCAGCAAAGTTACTGGGGATGACATGGCAGTCAACACTTGGTTGACCACAGCTGCTGCCGCTGGTGATCCTCCTGGGTATTTTGAACCACTTACAGGTTGATTTTGTCCTTTGCAAGTTGCTGACTCTGACTCGTCCCATTCTTTTCCTCTGCTCCACCAGTAATAATATATTCGCAAAATAATATTTGTTAATTAAATATTTCCGGAGTTAGGGAGTATATAACATGTGTATGCATGATAGATGCAATAATTTTGCTATCTAATAATTTTGTTTTTAATACAAGTGATAATCTAAACTATAAAGGGGGGTTTCTCACACACATTACTAAGGTGCAATAGGAGTTCGAACTTAAGATCATTGGTCTACAAGTCAATACTATTTTTCCCTAGGCTAGACTTCGTTGGCAATTTTGTTATGTAATTAAATTGATTAAAGCTTACACTATATTTGTTTAAATATATGACTAGTTTAAATAATAGATGGAAGTTAGGGAAGAAGAAAAGTGTGTGATTAAATTACTTAGTTAACCATATTTTTATAAATATTAAACTTAATAAGGGCCAATAGGGTCTAGTCCAGTAAAAAAGGGTCTTCACTTGCAGACTAGAGATTTCAGGTTCGAACCCTCATGGCATCAATTGTGTGCGTGTGAGAAATCCTCTTCCTGTAGTTTAGACTATCATTTGTACTAAAAAAAATTTAAACTTAATAAGGACATAATTGATATACTTTACCCTTTTCGATTTACAAAGAACCGAGTTCTCTTAGATTGTATATATAATATAGTCATTGAAAAGTTAAACTAGAACTAGTAAAATTGCAATAAGTCAAATGAAAATTTCCATATCCTATATGGTGAAATGACAAAGAATTTGAATAAGACTAAGGTTAATTTGTAGTGTTGGTGATGAGAGTTAAAAGAGGAAATCGTACATGTAATGGGTTGGAGAAATGCCTTGAAAGAAAACTTTGGTGTTGGCAGCATCAACATTAGAGTCCACCCACTTAGACCAAGTAGTTAATCCCTTCCTAAAAGCATCCAAACGATCCATATCCTTCACTATCTTACCTCCTGCTTCTATGTAGTCCCATCTGAAACTCATAAGACAACATAATTAATTAATGCATGCAAATTAAGGCTTCTAATTACCAATTATAATATAAAAAAATTTATACAAGCGATAGTTTACTTTAAACCAATCTAAACTACGAAGAGGGAGATTTTAACTCGAGTGCAAAGTGGAAGCACATCTGCTCTAATCAACTTAACTAAGGTCATGTCTGCATAATAATAATAATAATTTTTATTTCTTAAGATATATATAATTGCGTATTGCAGTGCAATAATTGTGTTTTGAGTGGTTTTTGTTTCACGTACGGTTGTTTGCTTCCTTTGTGGAGCCACCAATGCCAAGTATTGAAGATAAGCATATCGTATCCTTTCCATGTGTTGCCGTTTTCAATAGAGTCCAGCTTTAGAACCCTGCCTTCCTTTGTATCCACTAGGTCCACCAGAAATGCATTGCGAGATAACATAATTGAAACTTCATAATCCTACAAAATCCAAAATGTGCCTAATAATAAGATTATATATTCACTGGGCCCTACACCTAATAATTTAAGGTTAATTTCAAGATGAACATGTTCTCCTTATAAAAACTCACGGTCATCCAAAAGAGTAAATAATTTGTCCTCATATACTAATTAATAAGACTAATCATCCACATTTTGTTGGAAAGTGGGACTCATAGTTGGTGAAATGTCTCCCATAATAATTAGCTAACTAATTATAATTGAGTAACGCTATTTTTATCACATTTGTATATCACATTCTTGTACCACCTTATATGGCAGATGAAGTTGACAGTCACATCAATTAAAAAGTGTCAATAAATTATAAAATATAAGAAAATATTAAATTAATTTTATTTGATGTGGATGTACACCTCATCTGCCACATAAAGTGATATGGAAATGTGGTACACAAATACGGTAAGCGTAGTATTATTCATTATGATTATCAGAAAAACTCACGGGCCAAGAAAACGCAGAGATGTCGGCTTTCCTTGTTAAGGCATAGTTGGGTTGGGGCGCTGCAGCATGCAACATGCATGTTAGTGATTGCCATTGGTTGAGGCTTAGAGAGTCCCCTACGAATAGTATCTTCTTCCCCTTTAACCTCTTCAACAGGTCCCGACCATTGAATCTGCACCACATATGGAGTTTTTCTATGTTAAGGATATCTTATTGCAAGAATAGTGCACACATACCCTTCCTAAGACTACATAACAATATATTTTAACGACCGAGACCGTCTATATTTTAGATTATTCATGCCAAAAATCATCCAGATCCGAAGTCTTTTAGTAATCTATTAATGTGTAAAAAAAGAAGAAGCAATCATTAAATAAAACAGAAATGAAATAGTTGTATAGTCTTTGTAAGAGAATAAAAAAAAGTGATCAGTTTCGATCATTGATTTCCTGATCAGGTAAATAAGGACATCTTTACTATATAAAGCCTCTATATGCATATATTGCAAAATGATATCTGTATATGCATTTGTCTGAAGTGTGTAATGTGTCGGTGCATGATATTATTATTAGATATTTGTATTTGTGTCGCATAGTGTATGTACAAGCTTACTTTCTGAATCAATTATTTGTCTCCGATGCTTGCAAGCTGCTGAATATAAAAGTCAACGACAACCTACTTAATTATACATAGAATATTTTTGCTCACCGCTTTAACTCAAGGTGTATCCTCATCTTCCTTCTCAACACTCGACATGTATCCATATGCATAACCATGGTTCAATAAATAGAAAGTAAAAAATTAACTATGGTTATGCCTACAGACATGTGTCAAATATTAAAAAGGGTGGTGAGGATACGCCTTAAATTAAAATGATGAACAAAAATATTTCCATATTTGTTAGACATATATTGTCAGACTGTTAATTCAAACTATTAATTAGGCGAAATAATGTTTCAATTTTAATGGGAGGTCATTGTAACAAGATAACATTACTCCTTATACAAATACTCGTCTTTTTGAAACTGCTTATAAAATTCGACATACATAAATCAAAATATTGAAATTATTAATTGCCATAATTTTAAGCGACGGAGATTTAAATTCCATCATTTTAGAATTCTATGCAATTTTCAATTCCTTCGTACCTAAACAGAGGCATAATTAATGAGCACCGTTTCAGGAAATCATTTCATTTCAGTCTTCAACTAGATGATTTAAATCTCGGACATGGATATATAAGCATGTTTTTCCAACAAAGCAGGCAAACTTTGCCACTTTATGAGAAGAAAATAGAGAGAGAAAAAGTCACATGAATTGTTACCTTGGCAATGCACAAGCGTTAGGCTTCCATCTATATTTGAGATACTGATCGTCTGGCCGTCCATTGTTTTGGCAGTCAAACTCTTTTTCAATGAAAGGGCAGCTGGAGATGTCGTAGAGTGGATAGCTTTTATCAAGAACCCAACTCCCATGAAACAAGTCACAGCTGGTCGCAAGTACTTTTGCATAGCAATGTAATTGGTCTTCATGAAGGCATAGAACTAGCAGAAGAGCATAAGCAACTAAGCCAAAGCCATGCAACATTTTCCCCATAATTTATTGGCAGAGAAATAGAGAAATATGTGGAGAGTGAAAGACCCAGAAAACTCTATAGATAGCTATGCAAATGGACGTTTGAGTTTGTAAGGTGGGGCGTTTGTTTGAATTGTTTCATTGGGTTCACTTGGAGAGATGGACAAAGACACCTTTTTTCCAATTTCTTGTCCTTTCATATTGGTATAGCTGTTGTTTGGACGTTTTCTAGTCATGGTCACGCGCAAAGTTGAATTTCTCACCATCTCATTTTCCTACCATTTTATATTTATTATCATGCATCCTAGAACACACTAAATTGACAACATGATGTGTGGGTGATGTGGGCATCTTAATTAATAAGATCACATATAATTTAAATTTTCTTATTTTAATTGAATTCAATTAATAGGGCCGGAGACGGGCTAATTAGGTTTCTTTATTCTTTGATTTAAAATAAATATAAAAAACTTAAATCACATGTGGTATTATGTACACATCAACTGCACTATACATAACATATAATGTGTCTAGCATTATTGTTTCTCGAATAACTCATATTTTTCGGCTTTCAAAATTAACTAGAATGCGAAAAAAATAATATGGTAGCAAGTAATAAATAGTCATGGTCGATCATCATTAGCTCAAGTATGAGAAATTGGATCCTCTTTATCTAGTAGTTTCAAATCTTGTCAAGTTGTCATATGCAAGAAAAAAATAAAGAAATAAGTAAATAGTCTTCGCAACAATTGTCGGCAGCAATATGAAACACAAGTTTGTATTGTACTTCTTGCAAATTGTTCAAATTATAATTTCTTTCATGCTTTGCTTTCAAAAATCCAATAAACGAAAATTAAAGTGATTATACATGCTCCTATCATAAGAAGTTGACATCATAGTTCGTTTTTAGTCACTGGTCACAAGAGTTGCATAAAAAAGTTGATTCCAGGTATCAGGGACACCGGCAAGGCACCAGTGGCTGCAATCGTTTCCCGTTCTTCCAACATTGCCGTACAAAGAAGGGTGCCCATCTTTTCTCAACTGCGATAGTAGAGTTATGTCCAGCAAGGTTACTGGGGATGACATGGCATTCAACACATCGTTGACCACAGTTGCTGCTGGTGGTGAACCTGCTGGGTATGTTCTACCAGTCACAGGTTGGGTTTGTCCACTGCATGATGCTGAATTTGGATCGTCCCATTCTTTTCCACTGCTCCACCAACAATATACAAATTTAATAAAATAAGCAAATAATAATAATTTATGTAGTTAGTTTTCAGAGATGATTATATAAATATGTAGTTAGAAGGCCGATTAGCTCTTAATCTACTGATCTACCAAAATGGCATAGAGGTCCCAAATTCGAATCGCTGTCTTTCTTTGATAAAAGAGGCAATCATGACATACTTGTAATGGGTAGGAGAAATGCCTTGAAAGAAAACTTTGGTGTTGTTAGCATCAACATTAGAATCCACCCACTTGGACCAAGTAGTTAATCCCTCCTTAAAAGCAGCCAAGCGGTCCATATCCTTGAGTATCTGTCCTCCTGATTCAATGTAGTCCCATCTGAAATCATCATAAGACAATCTACAATATATTAGTCGTCGAATGATGGAAGTAACATATTTTTAAATATGAAAATATATATTAATGCTCTTTGGGGTTTGGGATTATAAACTTGCGAATTGCAGTGCAGAATGATTGTAATTTGGGGTTCTCACGGTTGTCGGCTTCCTTTATGAAGCCACCAATGCCAGGTATTGAAGATGAGCATGTCGTATCCCTTCCAATCATTGCCATTTGTAATGGAGTCAAGCCTTAGAACCATGCCTGCCTCTGTTCTCACTAGATCCACCAGAAATGCATTGCGCGATAACAAAACAGAAACATCATAATCCTGCAAAACCCAAGGGGTGATTTATCTATTGATTTTGCCCAATTAATGCTTAATATATAATTAGTAATTGAAATATATAACATGCCCATATTAGATGTATCTTGTTTAAAAGTATAACTTAATTGGTGTTGAACTCACAGGCATAAAAAACGTAGAGAGGCCTCCTTTCCTTGTTATGGTATAATTGTTTTGAGGAACCGCAGCATGCAACATGCATGTTAGTGACTGCCACTGGTTGAGGCTTAGAGAATCCCCTACGAACAGTAGCTTCTTCCCCCTTAACCTCCTCAAGAGGTCCTCACCACGGAATCTGCACACCATATATTGCAATTTGCAAAATATGAAATAAGTGTAAAGTCCTTTACAAGTACTAATACAATAATGGGTGTCACTGCCAATCATGTTTGTTTTGAAGTACGTATATAAAATGTAGTTATGTGTCAGTATGCGTCTGTATATTATTGAGAGACGCATTTCACTCGAAAAACGGAAGCTTTGCATTATAGAACATAATTTATACAAGTTTGAAAATATATGATTAATGTACCTTGGCAATGCACAAGCGTCAGGCTGCCATCTATATTTGAGATATTGGTTGTCTGGCCGTCCATTTTTCTGGCAGTCAAACTCTGTCTCAATAAAAGAGCAGCTGGAGGTGTCATAGAGTGTATAGGTAGAATTATCATAAACCCAAGTCCCTTGAAACAAATCACAGCTGCTGCTGATATCTACTTTAGCATAGCAATGTATTTGGTGTTCATGAAGGCATAAAATTAGTACAATACCATAAGCAACTAAGCCAAAGCCGTGCAACAATTTTCCCATAGTAAGAGCTAGCTGGTTGAGGAGATTGATAGACCAAGTAACTAGCTATATGTAATGTGAGTGACCCGTGATCAGCTAGTGGGTTTGGGTTCACTTGGGGACAAAGACACCTTCTTCCTTGTTCGGCCTTTTGCTGGTGTAGCTGTTGTGTGGACGCTTTCTAGTTAGTCATGGCGTAAAGTAAAGCTTAATTTATGTATTATCATCCTTCGAAGAAAAGCCTTCCCTACTTTATTTGTGTATCAATAAATTTATTTGTTCCTGCTCCCACATATGAAGAAAATACTCTAGTGCGGTACCAATTTTATTTAGATTTGGTCACCACTAGCTCAAGCAGAAGAAAAAGTAGGATGTGACAGTGGTGGGGATATGAAACACAGTATTGTACCTTATTTGGCAATTATTCAGGACTGCAGATAGTAAAACAAACCAAATTAATGTTATTGCCTGCAGTTATGAAACTATCCCATGACATGTTTACTTGGAATTGAAGAAGTTATGAAACAGGAAAAGAAAAAAATACGAGAGAGAATGAATGAGTATGGTATCAACTACTCCCCCTAATTATATATGTGTCAGTAAACACAAACGAAATTATAGTAATTGGAATAATTCCAATACACATTTGATGACTTGGCATTCCAACCCCGTCGATCTGTCCATGGTGTAGCCTACCTTTTTTATTTTTTTGCTCAGAATACATAACCCTACTCATAGCTATTCATGCAGGAGGCTTGTTTATTTGTGGTGATTTTATTGCTGAGTGGATCACGTAGTGTAGCCGACATGTGCTAGCTAGGAGGAAGATTTAGATGCAGGCTTCTAAATGTATTGGGCTAGTGTTGCCAGGCCCAGATCAATTTGTTATTAGTTTTGGGCCTTATCCATGTAATACAATAATTTTAAAAAAATTACTAGTAGATTAGGGGATCCACAATTTTAATTGCTAAACTCTTTCGGTAGAATTTGGGTCTTCTACATCTTTGGTGGTTGAGCTTGTATCAGAATTAGGGTCTTTTATTCCGAGCATTTATAAGTTCACCAAACAACATGTGAAGTGTTCATTCAAATTAATTGAAAATTTTCAATCCAAGCCGAGCCACTAAACGTAACATCAACCCAATGTGTTAAATACTTTATATCAAATCCCATATATAGGAGAAAAACTACCCCACCAAAACATGTTTCTATCTCTCCATATACAAACCAAGTTCCCCTAAGTTTTCTCAATGTGTAAATAAACATTCCAAGCAAAACCAGTCGAGTCACAAACATTTTTTCTGGAGCGGGATTTTGCATATCGCAGTTCCAACTTTGAAAAAAAAAAATTAGTAGCATAGAAAACTCTGAATATCGTTATAAATCAATTATTATTTTTTCTAAGAAGTCGCCAAATTCTATAATTTGGTGGTATGAATTAAATGAAAAATGTTTCAAAGAATAAAATTGTAAAGAATCTCGTTCCAAGTATCTGGGACTCCACAAAGGCACCAATGACTACAATCCATTGCTGTGGTGCCTCCCAACCCATAGATTGAAGGGTGCCCATCTTTGCGCAGAAGCGACAGGTTTGTTACATCTAGCAATGTCACAGGCTTTGTGATTTTGCTTAGGGCGTTCTTCAGCACACTCAGAGCTGGTGGCAAACCTCCTGGATATGTCGACCCAAGCAAAGGCTCCTTCTGCCCTACGCAACTTCTTGCCTTTGGCTCATCCCATTGGCTCCCACTAAAATCACAATTCACAAAAACAAGGTAAGATACTCTTTTTTTTCTCTTGATGTAAGTGCACGTGGACAATTGTCAATCGTTGATGTACGTATTTAAGATTGACAACCATTCACAAGTTGATGGAATTAAATGAAGAAGTTGAATTGGATTTAACCTTCAGTGATTCTATTAAATAAGGGACTTACTTGTAATGAGAGGGAGAAATTCCTTGGAAGAAAACTTTAGTTTTTGCAGGATCAATGTTTGAATCCACCCATCCAGCCCAAGTCATGAGTGCCTTCTCAAAAGCAACCATCCGGTCAATGTCTTTGCTGACCCGGCCTCCTACTTCAACATAATCCCATCTGAAAAATTACATTAGTTTTGAGTGTTACCATAATTTTATTTGTAACAAAAATTAATTTATAGAATTAAATAACCATAAGAAAATTGTAGATTTTAGTTATTAGGCTTACGGCTGAGAGGGTCCTCTGCGATTCCACCAATGCCATGTGTTGAAGATGAGCATGTCAATCTCCTTCCATAACTTGCCTCCCACAATTGAATCAAGCTTCAAAACCCTACCAATCTTTTCTCTTACAACATCTACTAGATACACATTGCGGTCTAGCATCACTTTCAGTCCGTAATCCTGCAGCAATTTCGATCATAAATTTTCCCCACCACCCACAACCAATTTAAAAAAAAAAAAGACCACATGGTTCGTGTTTGGTAGAATATTGACAAAAGTTCATGGCAAGTTGTCCAAGGAATTGAAAGGTGAAATTAATTTCACGCGAGACTAAACATGGACCAGCGATAAATACTTTTGCCGTCATCTCTCTATCATTCTCCCATTACTTTTGCAAGTGGCCAATCAATAAAAGAAGTAGATGAAATTGAAAACCATGTCCAAACTGTCAAGATGGATTCATCTCACCCGACCCAACCCAACCGATGTGACTTCAGTTGAATATAGGTGGCAATTAGATAAACAACTTTTTTACTTTGTCTAGATTAATATGATTTAGATTCAAAGTCCGACAAGGTATCAAGTGTTATGTTTAACAAGAGAGTTTTATGTGCACGTATAAATAATGTGGGATTGAGTACATACCGTAAAAGTGAAGACAGATACATCGTCTACTCTCGTGACATTGTAGTTAGCATTTGGGACGGCTGAGTGAAGCATACATGTCAAGGACTGCCATTGATTTCGGCTTAATGAATCTCCAACGAACATGATGCTCTTCTCTCTAAATCTTTCTAAAAAGTCAACCCCGTCAAACCTACAAAACCAAACTACTAATTACGTTTTAAAATGTTACATCTGAATTAATTAGTAGTGGCCATGCCCACTTGTGTATGTGTTGAAAATGACAATTATATTATTCATCATGGAGGGACCTCCGTGACAATGACAGTAAAATGCCAGGCTGCAGGCTCAGTAAATGCACACAAAAATAATGTAAAAAGGAAAACAATAATTTGGATTTTATTTACTCCAATTTCTTATTTTATACTGAATATAATTTTATATCTTAAGACAATCACGTACTGTTATATGAAAAAATTAAAACGCAAATATATTAATACGGGATTGGCTTGAAATAATGGCATCCCGATCTAAGTAGATTGTTCTTCTCATTATGGTATGATTGAAGGTGCACGTCATAGATAGTACATGGCAGTATCTGTAGGTATAAAGGGCCCGTGAACTTTATTATTACTACTTTAATAAATAGTTTAATTAATCGTCACATGAGTAGCGTAGTGGGCATGAGTTGAGTGGGACTTGAAGAAAGAATCTCTATAGTCATCACATGATCAAGAAGACAATCACAGTCCACACAAACCAAAGATGTAAATGTGACCTATCAAAGGCTGCCAGCACCAACTTTTTCCATGCAGCCAAACATTAAATTTCCCAGGAAAATCATTGTGAGAGAGAAGCACTACTTTATATATATAATATTCCTATGTCTATGATGGGCTCTCTCTGTCGCAAATTTTTGGGTTTTTTAAACGAAATTGATCTACCACTCAGTTGAAGTTCACATGATGTCTTCCCATGAATTATATAAAATTTATTTCATATGTGTTGTAAGATGACAGAAGGGACGCTATAGCTAGAAAAATAATATATATATATATAAGTAATGCAAAAATAATAACATTGCAGCAAAAAGGAAAGCAATAATTAATAATAATGATAATAAAAATAAAAATAATAAGTAGAAGAAGAAAATGGTGGTAATAATAATGTACCTTGCTAAGTCACAGTCATGTGGTTGCCATCTGTATTGGGTGTAAAAAATGGTCAGGGCGGCCATTCTTTTGGCAGCTGAACTCTCGCTCGATGAAGGGGCAGGACGATGGATTGTAGAGTGGGTAGTTTTCGTCCAAAACCCATCTCCCTTTGAACAAATCACATGATGCCTCTTCACTTGCACCACCATTAGGAACAAAACCAACGAGAAGCAGCAGGCCTAATATTCTAGTAACACAAAAACTGCTATGAACCCAGGAACCCATTCAGTCTTTGAGAGAGAGAGAGAGAGAGAGAGAGAGAGAAGTTTAGGGTTAGGAATGGGACTACAAACTCTTCTCCCTCTCTCTCTCCCCTATATTTATAAGTCTCATGTGATGTGAGAGAGAGGATATGGAAAGTTGGCAATTTGCTTTTTTTTTTTCTTATTTTGTTTTAATAGGGTAAGTAACCCATTAAAAGTGTTATTATATAATCATCAAGGAAAATCTTGTTTTACCTTCTCTCAATACCTTACTCAGAAAAATAAAATAAATTCCAATTTACTCTTTGCCTCTCGTTTCACTTTTAATTTACTTTCCAGACAAGTTGATGGGTATATTTTATATTATATATTTAACCCTATTCTTAGTACATTTTGATTAATATTTTGGAAGAATTTTGATACTTTGAATTATATTTCAAATATAAGACTTTTGACTTCCTCTGGAGCAAAACATAATCAAATGGACGAATTTTAGAGTAATTTCAGTTGGAGGACGTACATGAGTCACTTAGCTTGATCGTGTCAAAATTTCAGATTTTTCTACCAAGCAATTATTTTCTGGCAATAAAATAAATGAGCAGCGCAGTGCTGGAATAGTGACATTTTGGGCTTTTATTGCGTTTTTGGAGCCCAAGATGACCTCGGATGGGTTCGTGGCCTTCTGGAGAAGTGTTGAGAATATTTTTATCTTTAAAACAAGCTATCTTGGGCCAAATTTGGAGGAGATTTGAGGCTAAAACGTGGCTGATTAAATTGTGGGCAGATTCTCCTAATCCAATTTGGATTTTATTCCCTAATATTATTTTATTTTAACTTAGTTTCCTTGTGGGGATTGGGCAGCTAGGTTTTAGGAGATATTTAAGCTCCTTTTCACAGCAATTTTGGGATACTTCTTTTTCACTTTTGAACATGACATTGTGGAGAGCAATTTCTAGGGTTTTGGGTGTTTTCATTCTTATTCTTCCGAATGATATTTTCTTGGATTTCAATTATGAATATGCGTAACTAATTCTCTTTTGCTAGGGTGAAGCCTTGAACCTTAGCATGAATATGTGATTTTTATTTATACAAATTTATAAATAAACTCAATCCTAGACATGTATTTATAAAAAAAAACCCAAACACTATTTAAACATAGAAACACACTCAAAATTAACCCCAAAATCAACAATTGTATATTTTTTGGGTGTGTTTATAAATGGGTTTTGAGTGTGTGTAATGATGGTTTTTGGGTGTGTTTATAAAGTGTTTTGGGTGTTGGGTTTTTTTATAATTTCAGCCCCCATTTTGGGTGTTTTAGTGAAACTCCCTTTTATTTAATTGCTTATGATTGAATGCATGCCTACTTTGAATTGTTAATCACTGTTTTAAAGTATCTAATTGTCTTAATGCCTTATCACCATTAGGATCTTTAGAAAAGTACGCAATTTTTCTCGTGTTAGAGGCAACCATTCACATATTTGAATTTACCAAACATGAGAAAGTAATTGATTTCCCATCCGAAAAAAAGTGATGATGAGCTTTTTCACTAGCAATTGATTTCCCATCTGAAACCATTCCCATAAATAATTTTTTTTTATTTTTAAAAACCCCATAATTGATGAGCTTTTTCACCAGCACATGAAAAAGTGGAAATCCTTCGCCTTTAGATGAATTGACAACAAAACTAACAAATAATTAAAAGGGCAATTAGATTGCTTTGTATTGTTTGTTTGCACTAATCGAAATCTTAATCTCATAGAACATGAAAACAGAAGTCCAAGAAATCTGAATCTTGTGTTTGAGGCTTCACCTTAGGATCTTTATTTTCTTCCAGGATTCCAAATTTGCTACTGGTTGTAGTTTGATTCCTTGCTGTGCTTAGGAGCTTTTGCCTCCTTTTCAATGAATATTTTGATTATCATCCAAAAATAAATAAATTAAAAATATGAGGTGAGAGAGTTCTGAATAAATATTTGAATTAATAATTAAAGGGTATTTTAAGAATATTGATGGGTAGAAAGATATGATTGTGTTTTTTCAAATTTAAATGGTGGGTGAGAAGATTAGGTAGGTCAGAAAATAGTGGGACATGTGAGTGCAAATAGTAGCACTCTTCCCATAAACCAACGCAGCCATAATGGAAAGAAACACTGAAATCAGACATATATAGTTGCGTTTTTCTGTGCTGTAATTGGGTTGTTAATGGTGAAGTAATTAGATTCCAAAGATATTGATTAGAGCAATGGGAACTTTCCTGTTTCTTCCTTTTCTCCTTTCCGTAAATACATAAACGAAATTAATCTCCCTTTCGAGAACTTTTCCATTCTATATAACTAATTTGTTGGTTATTCACTTTTCCTTTATTGCCTTGACGAGCAAATTGGCTAATGTTTATGCATTGTACGTTTTTCTCACTTTATTAAAGTTTAATCCTCTTGGTATATTATAAAAATAATAAATAATAAAAGAGTTATTCACACAAACACCCCTTGAGGTTTTCGGTGTTTTCACAAAACCCCATGATACTGATGATTTCATTTCATTAAAAAAAAGCTTATGCAAATGACAAAATTAACCTCAATGAATGTATGTGCAATTTAATTTCAGCGGCTAACATTGTCATTTGGAGAAATTTTTTACATATAAAAGAGTGACGCTAAACGAAGATTTTTTTTAAATAAAAAATAGCCAAAATTTACCCCCTACTTTCATAAATGTCAATTTTTATAAAAACTTTCAAAAATAGCAAAAAATTCACTTTAAAAATACTCAAATGCCCTCAAAACTAAAGCCCACAACAATCTAAAAGGCAAAGTCTGCATCTCTATTTTCAATTTGATTTCAAAAATAAAAACAAAGTTTCAACCAATGTTATATCAATGGAGGACTGAACCATGAATATGATTTCCAACCTGTAAACTCCCCTATGTTTCGATCATGTTATATCATTGGAACAGGAAGGTACCATCGAAGCAATTAGAAGCGCATCATCAAACACAGGCCTTTGAGCAAACATGTAGTGACTGGTGATCATGATTCAAATGACTTACACTTGTACCAGCAATTGTACTGCTATGCAACTTAGTGAAAGATATATAGGCTTAGGGGCACTATAGGGAAGCTTCATGGTTCAAGTCCTCCAATGATATAACATTGATCAAAATTCGAAACATAGGGGAGATTATATGTTGGAAATCAAATGAAAACAAAGATTGCAGGTTTTAGGTTTTTAGGTTTATGTGGGTTTTAGTTTTGAGGGCATTTGAGTCTATTTAGGTGAGTTTTTTGCTATTTTTGAAAGTATTTTTAAAAATTCACATTTATGAAAATAAGGGGTAAATTTTGACTATTTTTGATAAAAACTCCTAAATGAACCCTAAAATTAACTGAACACACCATATAATCTAAGTACACCCTATTATTTAAATCAAAATGTAAAATTAACTAAGTACACCCTATTTAACTACACAAAATACCCTTGGTACACCCTATATATACTATGTCACATCTCATTTGCCACATCATATTTTTAATTTCTTCTAAAGCTTTTGTTCATTAAAACATTAAAAGGAGTCAATTTGAACAAATCTGGGTTTTTTTTTGTTCTTCTTTTTCTTTTTTTTTTTTTTTTTTTTTTCTCTCATCTCAATGGGGATTTGATTTAGTCTTCAAATAATGAATTTGTTCAAACTGGTTCGACAGCAAGCCATATGGGTCTAATAGCTACTGCGAACTTGATTCAAATGAAAACTAATTCCCAAATGCCTTCTTATATTTGAACTTTAGATCCAACTAATATCTTCAATGATTGTTTTGAATAGTTAGATGGTCTTTCACTTTCAGATTTGGTCTCTTAATAATTTCCTTAACCTTCATCTCTAATGGAGGAGTTGTTGGGCAGCAATGGATGGCTGTTGGTCGGCAAAGGAAGGGGCAAAGGAACAAACATTCAACAATACCTCTTTGCGCCACCTCCAATGCTCGCTGCGTTGTCAAGTAATATGTTTGATTATGGTTGGATATGGTGAGTAGGGTGTACTTACTAAAATTATATTTGTTTCACAATTCAACATATCCTTTTTGGTCATTTTATATTAGGGTAAATTAGTCATTCAATAAATAGTTTGGTAGTAGGGTGTACTCAGTTAATTTTAGGGTTCATTTAGCAGCACTCATATAAAATCATCAATCTTCGGACGAAAAATCAATGAAAATGGGTTTTGTGAAAACAATATGAAAGCATTTTAGCAAATTGCCACCTCCAACAGGCGAGCTACCTAGTGCTTCAATGGCAAGGGTTCGAAACTCGTTGGAAGCACTTTGTGGTCAGGAGCAAGCCGAACTCCGAGGGGGGATTAATCCCACTCTTTGAGAGTGAAGACACCTCATGTTATTTACCCCAAAAAAAAAAACAATATGAAACCTCCTCATGGGGTTTTTGTAAAAACACCGAAAACCTCAAGGGTGTTAGTGTAAATAACTCAAAAAAAAGAGTTCATATGAGTTTGGTGAGAATAAATAATAGCTTCATCACCAAACAAGGACCTAAGACAATGTGATTTTAAGAAGGTTAGATACCGAAGGATTCATGTTAGGGTGAGTATTAATCTAGCCAAGAAATTCCATCCATTGATATTTTTCGTAACATGGAAATAAGGTGTTTGATGGAGTTTCTTGCAATTGATAGTATTTTTTCCCTCACGAAAAAAGAGTTCATAGATCCGTCACTATGGTTACGTATGTAAATGATTCTGTATGCACATATAGGTTGCACCATCTGCATTAATTGGGATCACAAATGACGTTTCAAAACAAAAATAATTAAGATCACAAATGGGTTGGAACTTGGATTTGTCAGGCCTTTACCAGAAGGGTTCAATTCTAAATTAGTTCACAAATGCTCCTTCTAGCATTATTGCCATTCTATTGGCTGTACAACATAGAATTTAGAATTCTGAAGAGACGCAAAAAGTTACAGAAAAAGGCCTATTGTCCACTTGGGGTTGTTGGCTCATTGGAAGGGCTACCAAAGATGACTTCATCGTATATCCTTTAGCTGTCTAAGCCTAATCTGCTAGTTCATGCCTTCCAACGCTCATATTGACATTGCATGACAAGTTCAAAGCCACATTGTTTTGTAGCAGAACGCTGATTTTCCACCATTCTCTTTCAAAATATATAATATACCAGCTTCTGTGCTGTATCAACGTTGATCCAAGGGATTCATAATTTAAAATTACCATTCTGTAGAAACATCTATATTATTCTTTCAGCTATCTTGCCAAACAAAAAATATATGTGTGTGTATTTAGAGAGGGAGTAGAAATGATACATGAACATATAAGTTTGAGAATGAAGAAAGTTTGCTCAGTTTCTCTATTTTCTGTTGTCCCAGTAAGTTGAATCAGGCTTGACTGGATAGAGATCATGAGCAGATGTAGACGAACCGGTCCAGGGCCCTTCAGTTGACGCAGTTTGTGTCTGGCTCTCGCCGGTGTTCCTTCCGAAACTGGATTGAAAATGTTTCCTCATTGCTTCGATCTCAAAACTTGAGGCATTTGGATCTGAGACCAATTCCTGAACAGCAGCCCTGCCTTCAAGCATGCTCACAACTGAAGACATGGTAGGCCTAACTGTTGAAGTGACATTGCAGCAGAGGAGAGCCACATTGATTGTAAGCATCATCTCTTCTTTGTTGAAGTCTGAGCCCAACCTTGGATCCACTAGGTCCATCAAATTCCCTTGCCCTTTTAGTAGTTGTGCCTAGAAACATATATTGTCAGAGATAATTTGTCGATCTTTACAAATAATTTCACTGATCTTACATATATTGTCAGAGAAAGATAATGTCAAATGACGCCAGACTTGATTCTGGATCATCATTAAAACTATTGCAGTATCAGTCACTTTCTCTCAGCCACAAACATAGAATAGAGAGATCAACAGTATCAGATTACATTTAACTTTAAATAAGGAAGCAGTAGAATCATTTTACCCAATCAAGAAGATAAAAGCTTTTTTCCTTTCCTCTGTAAGTGGTGTTGTTCCTCCCACTAGCAATTTCCAATACAAGAATTCCAAAGCTATAAACATCTGCTTTATCAGTCAGATAACCCCGCATTGCATATTCAGGTGCCATATATCCACTGCAAAAAATCGCTCATCATTTCCCCATACTTAGCTTAGCGAAATACTAAAATACTACAAAGTTTCTTTAACAGTACAGATCTAGTTATGTTCGAAACTTATAAAAAGTATAGAAACCTCCATATGTTTCCTATTTCTATGGACCCATCATCGGGGTGGAAGAAATCAAAATAAAAGTATAAGAAGAAAAAAAATAGCACAGGGACTCACTAAGTTCCAGCAATACGGGTGCTAATGTGTGTATTATCCTCTTCGTCAAGCTTGGCCAATCCAAAGTCAGATATCTTTGGGGTAAGATTTTTATCAAGCAGTACATTAGTAGCCTTGATGTCTCTATGAACGACCTTCAATCTTGATTCCTCATGGAGGTAAGCCAAACCTCTAGCTATACCAACGCAGATCTTGTGCCTTGTTGGCCAATCCAACTTCAACTGACTTTCTTCTGGCCCTTCAATTTGTCAAATTACTCAAAGTTAGTTATTAGGGACATGTTTTTTTATGTATAAGATCTTTTATACCCATCTGCATGAACCAAATGAAGTTTACCAAACAGAGCACGAGCAAGGCTATTATTTTCCATGTACTCATAGACAAGCAATAGTTGATTTCCTTCAATACAGCATCCGTGAAGCTTGACAAGATAAGGGTGTTGCAGAGCAGAAATCATGCCTATCTCGTTTAAGAATTCACGATTCCCTTGCTTTGATTTGGAAGAAAGCTGCTTGACAGCAATTACGGTGCCATCTGATAGAAGGCCCTGCATTTGAGAAACAAAGTCAAAATTCCTTCACTAAAAAGCAGAGCAACTTTAATAACAATGCTTACAATTAGTCAAGTTAGCCCAACTGCAATAAATAAATAGAAATATTGGTTCCGCAGAATACCTTGTAAACGGAACCAAAACCACCTTCTCCAATCTTATTGGCTTTGTCAAAGTTGTTTGTGGCATCTTTGAGTTGCCTGAAGCTAAATTTACCAGTTTCCAGGTCCACGCCCTTTAAATCTGTGTAAGAAGCAAACTCATACAAGAAATTGTCTACACGAATTTCATAATGGTAGCATTTTTATTTCTTAATATCATGCTTCTTAATATCATGCGACTGATTCAAGGCCTAGAATTTAACAAGTAACTGGATCTATAGGTAGGCAGACTTCGCATCAAAGGTTTCAACAGTAAAATATATTCTAGCACCATCAAGGCGTTAGAAAGTTCAATATCTAAATAAATATCAACTTACAGAGTGTGCCTACATATACACGAAAAGTACACAGCATAAACTGTACGTACCATCCTCCAAAGTATTTTGTTGTCCTAGGAGGCCTCTCCTCCAAAGAATACCAAAAGTCAGTAATATAATGAAGACTCCTGCAGCCACAATTCCAACTACTGCACCTACAGATATGCCACTTCCACCAGATGCAGGTGTTACAGTTTCTGGTGGGGGTACAAAGTCTGCCAGAAGAAGAGTAGGTTTATTAGAGTAAATGTGAATGTAATAGTAAGAGAGTGCATTATTCAAACAGCTACCTAAAGCCGGATCTCTTAATTGTGTTGTAATATTAATGCCTAACATGATATTTACATATGAGAGACTCCCAATGGTCTACAAATAGTAATTAGAAGAAGCTCAGAACAGTGTAAACTTACCAGGATCTACAGAAATAGCTGATATAAGAGGACCATAAACTCCTCTAAAAGGGATACCGGTCGTCCCTTTCCCAGCCCAATAGAAACGGATCTCCAAGGTACCACTAGTTACAGCAGCAGTATAGTTCATTATGACTGCAGTACTAATCCCACCAGCTTTATCGACAATATTGAAATCCTTCTGCACTAGTCTCCCCTGCAATATCCTAGTTTTGTTACATAACATTTCATGATCGTAATGTGGTATTTTTTTCAGCCTTGACTGCAACCTATTTTACATGTTATTACTAGAAATTCATAAACATTTGAATTAACCAGGAACTAAACAGTGTCTATTGACCTTTACCTGAATGTAAACATCAAATATACGCCTTCCCAGGCTTTTATATGTTTTGCCATTTGTAAACCCCGTCTCTGCAAAATAGAGGTGTACAGTGTAGTTTCCATTTCCCAGACAGAACCCATAATAAGTTAGAGACATGGGAGAAAGGCGTGCATTCATGTACAGTTGTGGATTGGCCATAGGGAGTATAGATTCATTAGTAAAGCTGTCTTGTGAAATGCCATCATCAATAAAGTAACCAGTGCTGCTTAAAGCCCAATTTGTTGGGCTCTGGTGAAACGATGAAGATCCAACTGAAAATGTGTCATTATCAAATTGTTTTTCTTTTTCCTCATAAATAGTTTCTTCTTTTCCACCGCAATTTATACGAAGAGAGTACCAAGCTACGACAGAAAGCAAAAGGAGATTAGTGGCCATTGAGGCGGAAAACAAAAAAAAATCAAATCCAGAAGAATAAGAAAAAAGACAGTTATTTCTATTATTCCATTTTGGCACTGGAAGATTCAGGGGTACGATGAATGACTGCACATGCAGGTTCACGAGCCTCCCGCTCCCCCAAACAAAAGAAAATCAAAGATAAATAAATATAATATATCTTGAAGCAATATGTGGAAACCCAACTTACTTTTTGGACATTTTGCACTTCCTAAACATGATACAGTTTTTCTGATAGGATAATGCAGGATCCAGAAGAAGTCAGCAAGATAACATCATAAATGAAAATAAGTTATAAAATAAGAATTAAGAATACACAGTTGGAATGCCAAGTAAATTTATCTATGAATGCTTTCAGGGGATTAATTTGTAACTTACGAGCTTGAAAAGCTTGAAAACAAGTTCCTGTAGAAATTAACACAAACTGAAAATTGGAGTTTGATCTACAAGACACAAACAGAGTAAACTCAAGCTAATGAAAGACATTCTTACGCGCCGTCTTGTGATTTACAACTTGTGTTCCCTATGGGGAAGTCGTTATATGAAAGATCACTGCACAAAAGGGGATATTACGTAAATTCCTTTCCAAATGCAGTACGTGAATAGAAAATAAAATGAGGAGCAAGAGGTAGGTATTAACATGGTTGGACTGAAGTTTTTGATATCATGGTTAATTCTGAAAATCCAATATTAAAACACACAACCAAACTTCATGAATCATGAGCAGAAAAATGTTAGCAACTTTCACCATTCATAGTCATAGCCTCATAAGTGCCTGAGCTCTAACAACTGTCCAAGTTAAGCCAAGTTCAGCTTAAAATTTCCTTGTTCTGAATTTGGTCAAGCTACCCGCATCTCATAACATATACCAAGATGATAACGGTCCACCCCCAGTAGGGGCATAGCCATCATTTAATTTCAGGATGCCCTCTTCCCTTGGAATTACCTTCTATGTTGATTAGGTCAATCTCTCCAACTGATGCATCCACTAAACTTTGTTGAATATGTCGAATCCTATCCTTCCTTGTTTTCCCACACATCCATCTTGACATTCTCATTTCTGCCACTCATTTTATGAACATGTTGTTTTCTAATTGCCTAGAATTTCGTCCCATATAGCATGGCTGGTCTACCGGTATATGCAAAGAATGCTTTGGAGATATGAGGGAAACCTTGAAAAGGCTTAGGCATCATAAAACTTAGTAAACATTTTAGGATACTTAAAAAACTTCAAAATCTTACATAACAAGGAATAGCTACAATTCTAAGAATGCTATCAACAATTTTAATATCAATGACCATGCGAAAATGTTCATTAATGCCTATTTCATGAGTATAATTGTAAGTCAAGCTCCAGTACGAAAAGTCATGTCATAACGCATGCACTATGCTTTATCCAGTAATAGACAGCATAAATTTCCTTACTAAGTAACTAAATATTAGAATTTGGAAGAGAAGCTTACAAGTTTTCTCTCGCCCAAGTAGGCACTGGTCCAGTCAGCAAGTTTCCAGTTAAGAATCTAAACATAATTGGTACAGGAAAAATGGCATAAATTACTAGAAAGGGGGTATAAACAAAAGCAATGAATTACTAGAATGCCAGAATGGTCAGCATGATTAACACGACCAGCTTGTAGGGCTGGGGTGTGACAAAGCCATTGAAGAATGTCTGCTTGAGTTTTCTTGTAAGAAAGTGAAGATTTGTTATTCAAATTGCTTACATATACTCCGCTTCTGCTAGAGCAACAAAGCTGCTTGGAATTTCCCCGGTTAGCTTGTTAAAGCTGAGGTCTCTGCACAAACCAATAACAAATGCATTTCAGATATGCTCCCCTAGAGAAAGACGTTATTTAAATTAAAAATAATAATAAAACCTTTCCAGGAATAAGGTAAGTGTCAAATATATGCCATGATCTGCTCATGTATACATGTGTGTGAGTATGCTGATTACTTTAAAATAGGGCATGTCCTCTTTGTACATACAGAAACATGTGGCCCCCCTCCAACATCCTCAAAGTCATTCAATAATCCTCGAGTTATTAGAATAGCATCTAGAAAGAAGATAATTTATCTGAAGACGGTAAATAAAACATGGACAAAGACATTTGTACTAACAAAGTTTTCAAATTCTTCATGTCCCCGAGATATGGAGGTAGCTGTCCGATAATATTGCAACTCCTCAACATCCTGTAACAGAAAAACTAAACTTTTGAGTTTGCAAAAGACTTCTGGTACAGACAGACATTGTGTGTCATACAAGCATTAACTCACAGTGTCTTCATTCTTTTCATATTCTCAAGTGGAGGAAAGGGTGCTTCAGGCCCACTCAAGTCAGTAATTCTCCTGCATGTTAAAATCGAGCAATGAACATCCAGAAAATTGCTAATCTGTTTGTATTTATAAGTAGATACAAAATCAAAATCCATACTAACAAGTCAGTTAAATTTGTCAAAAGAGAAATGCCGGAAGGAATTGGCCCCGTCAAACCACTAGCCTGAATCACTCTGTTTTAACAAGTCATAACATTTGAATTAGTGATAATATTCAGAATCAAGTAGCTGCAAAGATAACAACAACAACAACAACAAAAACTCACAGTTTGTCAAGATTTGTCCAGTTCTTTATAAAATCAGGTATCTGCCCAGAAAAGTGACTGTCACCCACCCGGCTGCATAATCATTGGCAAAAGGAAAACAGTACCAATTAATCCTATAATGCGGTATTTGGGTGCTTAGGAAACCTTTAAGAAAAAAGAACAACAGAAGCTTACAAGTCTTTCAGTGTGGTAAGTTTTCCAAATGTTTCTGGCAACTCCCCACTAAAATTGTTTGAGTTAAGAAACCTAACAATGAAGGAGACATAACAATTATATTAAAGATAAAGAAGTCGATGATTGCTGATGAAAATATCCAGCATCTGTCTACAGCAAAGCGATTCCATATAATAAACCAAATATTTTTTTATCACGATAAAATTCGGAATAGGACAATCTTACATTCTTTCTATGAGGGGCAAATTCCCA